AACTCTCTAGGAAAGCTTTTTGAGGAAACTATGAGCCTTTTTAGTATGATTTTTGAGAAGCCAAAATAAGTTTTAAGACCCAAAAGCACTTTCGAAACATTTGGCTAATTTTATGAATGTAAATATTCTATTTAGAAGAGTTTTTAGAGAAAACTGGTTCAATGTAACTTCATTTTAAAGCACTTTCGATCCAAACTAAAATAAAGGTGAATTTATCATAAAACTCTACAGAAAGCAAAAATCATGCTAAACGGGCTATACATTGAGTTGTCTTTCTCTAAAAGTTATTTTAATTAAATAAATCACTTTTATAAAATTAAGCTTACGGTTCAAAATCTCATTTTGATTTCTCAAAAGTCACGCCAAACACGTCCTTAAATAACTCAATCATTTAACAAGACATAATTCTTTATAAGTAGGATCAAACAACCTCTTCTCCTTGCATTATACTCGTGGGAATGTGTGCCACAATGTAAATCATAGCCCACTTGTATTACACATAGACATTCACATCAAGAAAAAGCAAAGAGTTCATTAATCATATCCTAATTCTTTGTTCATACTAATTACTTAATTAATTAATATGTAGGCTACAAAATCCAACTTATGAAATCTCTTTACTCTTTATGGTTGCATCATAGTGGGATCATCATATGAACAAGAATTATTCTATGGGCGGACAGTTGGGGCCCACCTTTCGAAGAAGATCAATCAGTGGAGAATAAATTTGACTGCACATGTCCCCAGGTGGGATCCTATGAACTTTATCATGCGGCGGACCACACCAGAAAATTCCTCAATTCTTTTTTCTTCCATAATCCAAGGGATGTGTCTCACAAAATCTAGGGCGTGTTAGAAGAGCAAAGACCCCGTTTGAGCTCCTTTTTTTGGTAAAAAATATATTTTGAAAGTAAATGCGTGGTTAAAAAATTTAAAAGGTTTTTGAATTTACGTATAAAATTATTTTATAGAATAATGCGTGATTGAAAATAAATTTAAAAAAAAATGAATTTTAAAAAAAATGGGGCTCAAACGTCATAACCTCTTTCAGTTTATTGATCAAACTAGCTAGTTCAATCCAATTTCAATTTAGTTCAATTGATTTCAAGGAAAAGTACTCATCCTTGGTATCGATTCTAAATTATGTTGATGCTAACCAGGGCTGCCTCTGAAAATGTTGAGGCCCTAGTCAATAAATTATTATGAGATTCTCTAAAAATAATTTTTTACAAGCGCAACTATCTCTTTAGCATTATCCATAGCCCATTCGAACACAATTTCTTTTGATGAGGAACATTAACCAGAATCAATTTTTGTGTATTCAAGAAATAAAATACAAAGGGCTTCTGAAAATTTTCTTTTCCAAATGTCATTAATGAGTTTTTAATTTTCCTGAGGCCCCACAAATCTTGAGGCTCAAGACCACTGCCTAGATAGCTTTGGTCCACGATCGGGTATGATGCTAACTTGTAACTACTAATATGTGATAATGCACTTTTATTCCGTTGATTATATCAATTAAGAATGAATATCTAGTTCATCTATTGGAACCTTGTTACATCACCGATATGATGATTTGACACATTATTTCGTGAAAGATCATCTCTTTATTTTTTGACCGTGAAAGAGATAAAAGAAAGATCTTTTTATTTGTTCAACAATTTGTAATCTATAGTGGACCGTTTAATAGGATTCGAACTCACAAACAGTTCTAATCATTAATTACAAAGAAAAAAAAGAGTAGATCGAGCTTTCTCTAATAATGTTCTATTGTAATGCTCACTTTTTTCTTTCAATCCATTTCTTTTAGATATAGAACACAACACTGAGCAACTGTATCTTGAAATTTGAACATAACGTAGATGTTTCTCGATCTTTTGGTAAGATTCTCATAGTGGTCCTCATTTACACCCTCCAACGTTTGAAATTGAAATATTTTTAGTATATGAACTTTGGGTTTTATAATCTTCTTGGTGGGAGTGCAATGGTTCTCTCTTTTTGTTGCCTGTAATGTTAGGACAACCTTGCACGAGAAGAAAGGTACCATAATTTTTATTTCATTTTAAAGTTTTACAAAATTCACTTTTCAGTGTCTTGTTATTTCATCAAGAAAAAAGAGGACCCCCAAAACAAAGCTTCATCCTCAAGATTTTCAGGGTTCCATGTTCTTCAAATTTGAAGTTTTTAGAGCCAAAAATGAGAAGGTTTCTTTGGATTTTGTAATTTTTAAGGAATTTAAATTTGTAGTTGCTCGAATCTAGGTCTGAGGTGTGATGTGACGACGCACTTAGCACATTTCATTTTGAATTTTCAAGACTTCGATTCTTGTCGAGAAGTTGTGAAAATTAATCATTTACCTAGTTGATTTGGATGTATTAGTAAGGAGACTTGATTTTTCGTTTAAATTGAGCTTATCTAGATTAGGATAAAACACTCATATGGGTTTGATTGCTTATGGATAATTTAATTAATTACTAAACCAAATAACCTTATAATTTGTTGGGGCACTATAAATAGCCATATCATAGATTGCCCTATAACCACGAGACAAAAAGATCTTAATAAATTCAAGGGTTTTGCTATCGGTACCTAACTGTATGGACACCCCCCGTTGTCGACATGCGTCCCCCCAGTAGGGGGCGCACCCCTATGGGTACACTTATGTACCCATAGCATTTTCCTAAATTTAATTGATCAAAATGTGAAGTAAACGAGTGCCTCATCATTAAGTTAAAAATCGAAAAAGATTACATATTCATTCGTTGATATAATTCTCGATCAGACTAATTCAAACAATATTAGACATGACAATTATTGAATTATATACAATTTAACATATCAAACGTCACCTGACTTGACCGATTTATCCTTTAAGAGACTATGTTGTTAAATTGTCAAAAGATTACAATTAACACTAGTTACTCGTGTTACTAGAATCGATTCAAATGGCTTGTTGAATTTGTAGTTACTATTTTTAACTATATTTAATGGGCAGGGTGATACACGTTTAAGTGGACTAGAGGACCAAAAGAAAAATGGAGGGCACGTGGTTAGCATAGAATGAGACACGTGACATTGGGAAGGGAATTTATCCTTTGCTTGTGAGAAGCGTACTAGTGGAGCCCAATTGCTGTCCTATACTATAAAAAGCGGGTCCACATTTAGAATGCGCTTTTATCGTGGACCCAAAAGTACAGAAGCCGTGATTTCTGACGTATAGAGAAAATCTGTACATTCTCCATTCCTTGATCTTCAATCAGAGCCGTTAGATTATGATACAAATGTAGGCCCCAGTGTCTCAGGGCCCACATAAGTTATCACCGACGGTGGAAGCAGCTGCACCCGGGAGACCCCACCACTCATTGCCTTTTTCTCCCTTCTTATTCACAATCCATCCCCCCTGCATTGTCATTGCCAATGCCAACTTCACTCACTAATTTACTTCTTCTTCCTTTCTACTCAAAGAATTTCTCTTAAGATCTTCTTATAAGTAATTATTATTTCTTTTAAGCAGTGATAAGTTCTGGATTTTGAATAGTTTTTTGAGCCCACAAATTAATTCACAGGAAGAAAAGTTGATTATAAATGATGGCTCTTACTTCTCTGCAAGTCTGCATGGACTCATCTGATTGGTTACAGGTAAGGCTTCCACTCGATTTATAAAGATTTCAAGAACTTTTTTTCATTTGTGCTTTCATCAAAATTAAATTTCATTATTTCTTAGGTTCGAACTTGGATTATCGAATTCTTGCTCCGATATTATTTTGAATATTTGGCAGTCTTGAGCTTCGTCATCAGATCACTACAAGAAATTTCATTTGTCCTGTAAATTTTCTCGACGAAACAACTTTAAAATGGTGACAAGAATTTGCATAGTTAGAAGTGATTTTTTTGAGATAAAAGGTAGTGAAATTTGAGCAGCCATTGTCTTACACAAAAATGTTATCCTACCAATTATCTTGTCCACTCGAAGAGAGCAGTAAGTAAAGTTCAAGTTCTCCTGAATTATGAGCACTGTGGGCTCTGGAGAATAATTTCTTTGTCTTACATTGTTAACTAAGACTTAACGTTCAGCACTGTCTGAAAGGAAGTAAATTAGCCTCCGTTTGACACCCATTTTTTTATCTTATTCTCATTCTCATTTTTCTACAGTACTAATTTCTAACCACACATTCTCCAAATAAAATAATATTACACATAAACCCAAAAATTCTTCTTACTTTTTAACCACACATTCTTTACATCAATTACTATTCAAAAACTCATTCTTAAAAAAAATGGGTGCCANCAAAAACTCATTCTTCAAAAGAATAAGTGCCTTAGTGTTTCTTTTTTGTTAAAGCAAAATTTGTATTCGAAACTTAATCCATATTTCTCACTATTTCTTGTGAGAATTCTGCCTAGCAGGCAATGTAGCTTGTGACTACTAGAAATTAGACTATTTTTTTCCAATGAATCCGTGCACACAAAAATTAACGCTACTGTCATAATTGCTAAGTATCTTCAACTAGCAATGAGTCGAGCCAAGGTCAACTTTATTATTGTGAACACCGTATATTATTTTCGAGGCATTTCCACTAACTTTCACTTGTAAATTTCAATGTCAGGGCTCAATTCACGAGGAAACCGGGCTAAATTCTTCGTCTTCGTCCCCATCTGGAGACGTTCTGACCTGCTCCAGGCCCCTGATAGAGAGGAGGTTGAGGCCACCGCATGATCAATCCCTAAAGTGCCCTAGGTGTGACTCTACACACACAAAGTTCTGTTATTACAACAACTACAGCTTGTCCCAACCTAGGTATTTCTGCAAAACATGCAGAAGGTACTGGACCAAAGGTGGGACCCTAAGAAACATCCCTGTAGGAGGTGGATGTAGGAAAAACAAGAAAGTTTCATCCAAGAAATCATCAAATGATGTTCATAATATTCATCAATCTTCATCGTCTTCTGGACTTAACCAACAAAATCCGGCTGGGATTTTATCTTCTGATGATCATGATCATAATCCTACTGAACTTCAACTTTCATTCCCTGATTATATGCAGTTTTCGAACTTCAACAACAACACTTTCTTGACAAACCCTAGTTTCAACATTCTTGAAAATCCAATTACACCAATTGATTTCATGGAGAACAAGTATGATTTCTTGGGAAATGGTGACTTTGGTAATATGATGGGGAATTCTCAAAATTTTCAAGGGATTTGCTCACCTTTTTTGGGTATGAATCTTGATGGGAACATGAGTGGAACAATTTTGGACAATTCTCAGAGGTTAATGTTGCCATATGAACATCATTTGGATCATACTAATCAGGTAGATGAAAAACCGAATTCAAAGATATTGTCACTTGAATGGCATGATCAACAAGCTTGTTCTGATGCTGGGAAGGAGAATTTTGGTTATCTTGGTGGACTCGGAACATGGACTGGCTTGATGAATGGCTATGGATCTTCAGCAACAAATCATCCGTTAGTCTAGACAAGGCACGTCTGTCTGATACACATTGGACAGTATATCGAACAAAATTTTGACTTAATGTTCTTTCTTAATGCTGTCCAATCGTAAAATTGATCGCTTGTATCCGACATGAGAGATCACATGCAGCAAATGCTAGATTAGATTTATCTTACTGAAGGGTTGTTTTCTCTTTTCCTTTTTCTGTTGTATGTTATTTTACTTCCTATGTTAATTGACATAATCAGTTTAGTGTGAATGAGGATTGTGGAAGTCTGGTCATATATATATATATATATATATATATATATGAATGTTTAATCAGTAAAGTGCTTTAATTTTATATGAATGTTTAATCAGTAAAGTGCTTTAATTTTATCCATCTTTTTAAATTATTTTAATAGTGACATTTAGATTTCAGTAGTGAGGGATTCAAAGATGCAGGATTGGATTTGATTTGATATAGAGGAAGATATTGTTGGACTAAAATAAACTACTATTGTGAAAGAATGTTTTTTTGGTACTTGAAATGTACCTTGCATAGTGATGAAATATCATATTCTATTTTTACAAAAACTCATTTTTTCAACCACACATTCTCCTATAAAATAATTTTACTCGTAAATTGAAAATTTTTCTTTATTTTTTAACAACACATTTTCTAACTTTTTACTATTCCAAAATATATTTCCTTGAGAGAATGGAGCCCAAACGAGAGCATAAGAAAGGGATAGCGGAGTCAAGATGGACGTGCAGTTCGTATGTGGTCTGGCAATTGTGGTAGGTCATGACGAGTAAGATTTTTAAGTCCAATGACCTACGTGAACCAACCCAATTATCTCTATTTATATTACCAGTGAGCTCTACATGTAAAATATTTATTTATATTTCACAAAAATTTTAACCATGCAATTCGCAAATTGATCATTGAGAATATCTAATCTTTATTATAGTTAAAAAATGACGGGCTGCCCTACCGGACAAAATTAGCCTGCGATATTTACGGTTCATGGGCCGCTCCAATCCATGGATTTTCATTATGGAAAGTTTCATATAGATTAAGTATAACCCATTTCAAAATTAAGAAACATAATTCAAAATTTTAAAAATCAGATATTAATAAATTTTATTTATGAAATAATTAATTAAATATATATTTTATGAATTAAATATATTAAGATCATAATTTTATACAATTTGATCATAAATTATCAAATTAATTGGTTACAAATCAAAAAATTTATAGGTCACAAATTATTTCACGGTCACAAATAAAAAAAATTTATATGTCACAATTTATTCATCGGTCATAAATCAAAAAGTTTATAGGTCACTTTATTTATCCGTCACAACAAAAAATTTAAAACTTTAGATCTGACTTTTGTATAAACAAACTTGAGATCTGATTTTTGAATTGTGATCTTAAAAATTCTGATTTGATGTAAATTCCCTTTTTAATTATAGTTTGAAATAGATTCGAACCATATTTTTAAGGAAAAATTGCAGCCAAGGTATCAAACCTTTCATTGGTACCACTTACGGTATCAAACCTTTAAAAAATTAGCACTTGGGGTCTAAATGGATGATTTCCGTTAACTTTAACCGTTAACCAAATCCATGGTTTCTATATAAATTAAAATAATCAAATAATACAAAACAACCCAACCATTCAAACCATCTCCTTCTTTCCCATCTCCATATAGCCCATTTCCTCGTCCCAAAATCGTCGTCACATCCATCGCCACCCAGGTGTCGACTACCACAACCACCTAGGCTGACTACAACCACTGTCTCTAATTCACCTAATTTAAATAAAGGAAAGAAAAAAAAATTGAGATTCACCCAACTTCTTCCTCTCTCTCTACCTTCAAATCCACCACTTCATTAAACAAATTCAAATCAAGGAAAGACAACAAAGATTTGCTAGAAGATAGCAAAGAATTCAACTGTTCCCTTCACCAAAATCTCGGCTGAAGCTCTCAACAACTCCTCCAAATCAAACACCCTAGATTGTGATTAGGGAACTTTATTTTCAATTTCTTTCTATAATTTGCTATGCTATTTTTGTCATATTTGTGTTTCAAATTTGAAATTGATTTTCAAATCAGATTTGTTTTTGAGATTTTGCCATTGTTGTGGTTTAAGTGATAGTGTTGTTGAATGAAGGTGTTGATGGTAAGGAAAGACAATGGTGGCAATGGCGTGAATGTTCGATTGTGATGATAACTAGCCTTAAAGTTGAACACAGTGGGCTCAAAGGCGAGCACTATTGCCTGTTCCTCTCCGTGATAAAAGTTTGGAGGTTGAGGCGGTGGCGGATGGGTGTGGCGACGTTGCTTGTGGGAGTTGCTATTGCTAGTTCCTCTTTGGCATTGTGTGGGTGTGATTGAGCCGTCCGTAGTGGTGGTGATGGTTTTGGGGTGGGGTGGGGTGGGGTGGGGTGGGGGTGTGTGGGGTGGATGAAGAAGAAGAAGTTGGTTCTTAATTTTTAATTTTAATTATTTGATTATAAAAAATGAAAAGTTATCATTTTAACCTTTTAAAATTAATCAAAATTATTGTTTAGGTCAATTATTTGGAAAACTAACGGTCAAACTAACAGAAATCATCTATTTGGACCCTAGGTGATAATTTTTGAAAGGTTTGATACCGTGGGCGACACAAATGAAATTTTTGGACAAAATCTGCAACTAAATGAAATGTTTGATACCGCTGTTGCAATTATCTATATTTTTAAATGGACCTACTTACATGTGGGTTAGCCTGAGCAAGCCTACTTATTTTTGTTAGGATCTAATAAAGAAGTTTTGCATTCACCAAACGAGATTTAATATGGTACAATTGAAATAATAAATCACCAAACACATTAAAAGTAAAGAAAACACAAGAAAGAATTAATGGAAGAAGAAGATGATTTTATTTCAACCAATGGAGAACATAAATTATATAATGTGTATAATGTTTCAAGAAATATAAAGGGAGAGATTACATATTTATAGGTGCATACAAACCATAAAGATGGAAATAATATAAACATAATGTGGAATAGTGAAAATAATATTTTTCCAATAAAATCACGTGAAGTAAAAGGAAACAATATCACGTGAAAATAAGGAAACAATATTTCTCAATAGTTTTCCCAATAAAACAATGTGCAAAGAAGAGAAAAAATATTCTCAAAATATTTCACATAATTTGGGTCACCAAACCTAACAATCTCTACCTTGACACAAATTCCGGTGCTTTGAACTAAGCAGCAAAATTTCTCCACCTAAAAAAATAAATTTGATTACATCGAAATGACAAAACCCTTCAATAAAAAATTTCAAATCTCTCCAACACAAAAAACTGTCTTCCTCTTCCCAATTATCCAGCATGATACATGAACCACACCTGGTTCTCCAAAATTCCACCATGGAAACAATCAACCAAATAGTATCCACAAATGATGCTCAAACTCACACACCGAGTTCCTAAAATTCCTCAATGAAATTCACAATCAACCAAACAGGGTAGAAGCACACATTGTAGCAGAATCATCACCAAGTGTTTGAACTGAAGACTGCTTGCTAGACACATCATCTTCAAAACCACAAAAATACACACATTCACATCTAGACCGTACCTCTCCTCAATGAGTCCTTCCCTAGCAATAGAACACAATGAAACCGCTGAAACTGGTGGCAAAGCGGGATTACCCATGTCAACCAAACTCTCATGAGTAGTGTTCACCAAATTCGACTCAGAGCCAAAACCCAATAGTACTGTACCAAACTGAATATCCATCACGGTATGAAACCTGTCCAAATGTTTCTAACTGGTTTTGCACGCCTTTGCAAGATGTACAATTGAGACTTTTTTCATCCTTCAAGTACCACACGAGCACTACTACGGACCTTCAAGACTCCACCTCCACCGAAGAACGTGTTCCCTTTTAAATCTAGGGTACTTAATGGAATGAGGCTCTTACCTAACTAAGTTCGGAACATGTCGAACCTGGCCAAGTGCTCTAACCGTCCCATCCAATAGCCATAATCTGATTTTCCCAACTCCAGCTATCCTGTAAGATTGGTTATTTCCCATGACAACTCTACATTGCGTCACCGCCTCATATGCTTCAAACAAGTCACGATTGTGACACATATGATACGAACACGCTGAATCCAAAATCCATTCCTCATCAGGCTTGGATACAGTATTATATACGATCAACACCACAACTTCATCATTCTCAAAGTCTTCAGCAATATTAGTCTCATCCGTATGATTAGATTGTCTACCATGAGTTGCGGGCAAATTATCTTTGTTCTGCAACTTGTCACAATCCTTCAAAATGTGCCTTTTCCTCTTGCAATAGAAACAAACCATATTGCTAAATTTCATCCTCAACTTACCTCTCCACCGGTCACCATGAGTCACAAGAGCTTGCTCATCCCTTGATGTAGCTCAAACAAGACGGTTCATCTTCTCCTTAGAAAATAACTCATCATACACATTCTCAAGGGTGAGTGTATCACGACTATATAAAATCGTGTCTCGAAACGACGAATATGAAGAAGGTAAAGAGCATAATAAGATTAAGGCAAGATCCTCTTCATCATATTTTACCTCTAACGTCTCCAAATTAGCGACAATCTCCTTAAATACGGCCAAATGAGCTTCCACTGAATCTCCATCTACCATGCTATGAGAATAAAGCCTTTGCTTCAAATGCAACTTACTGGTCAGACTTTCGGTCATACAGAGTTGCTCCAACTTCAACCACAATGCAATCGCTGTCTTTTCCTTCAATACGTTCTGAAGAATGTTGTTAGATAGATGAAGGTGAATTTGATACAAATCCTTTCGATCCTTCATTTGCTTCTTTTCTGTTGTCCAAGTTGTGGACAACTTCTCAAATCCCAACAACGTATCATCCAGATCCATCTGCGCCAACACAGCTCTCATCTTTACTTGCCATGACGAAAATCTTGTACTGCTATCCAAAAGCGGAATATCAAATTTCATTGAAGCCATTGCACAAAGAAAAATTCCAAAAGCAAAACTTCACAACGCCTAATCTCTGATACCACTTGTTAAGATCTAACAAGGAAGCTTTGCATTCACCAAACGAGATTTAATATGGTNCTCAATGGAATTCACAATCAACCAATCAGGGTAGAAGCACACTTTGTAGCAGAATCATCACCAAGTGTTTGAATTGAAGACTGCTTGCTAGACACATCATCTTCAAAACCACAAAAATACACACTCACATCTGGACCGTACCTCTCCTCAATGAGTCCTTCCCTAGCAATAGAACACAATGGAATCGCTGAAACTGGTGGCAAAGCGGGATTACCCATGTCAACAAAACTCTCATGAATAGTGTTCACCAAATTCGACTTAGAGCCAAAACCCAACAGTACTGTACCAAACTGAATATCCATCACGGTATGAAACCTGTCCAAATGTTTCTAACTGGTTTTGCATGCCTTTGCAAGATGTACAATTGAGACTTTTTTCATCCTTCAAGTACCACCCGAGCACTACTACAGACCTTTAAGACTCCACATCCACCGGAGAACGTGTACCCCTTTAAATCTAGGATACTTAATGGAATGAGGTTCTTACCTAACTAAGTCCGGAACATGTCGAACCTGGCCAAGTGTTCTAACCGTCCCATCCAATAACCACAATCTGATTTTCCTAACTCCAGCTATCCTGTAAGATTGGTTGTTTTCCATGACAACTCCACATTGCGTCACCGCCTCATATGCTTCAAACAAGTCACGATTGGGACACATATGATACTAACAGGCTGAATCCAAAATCCATTCCTCATCAGGCTTGGATACAGTATTAGATACGGTCAACACCACAACTTTATCATTCTCAAAGTCTTCAGCAATATTAGTCTCATCCGTATGATTAGATTGTCTACCATGAGTTGCGGGCAAATTATCTTTGTTCTGCAACTCGTCACAATCCTTCAAAATGTGCCCTTTCCTCTTGCAATAGAAACAAACCACATTGCTAAATTTCATCCTCAACTTACCTCTCTGCCGGTTACCATGAGTCACAAGAGCTTGCTCATCCCTTGATGTAGCTCCAACAAGATGGTTTATCTTCTCTTTTGAGAATAACTTATCATATACATTCTCAACGGTGAGTGTATCACGACTATATAAAATCGTATCTCGAAACGACGAATATGAAGAAGGTAAAGAGCATAATAAGATTAAGGCAAGATCCTCTTCATCATATTTTACCTCTAACGTCTCCAAATCAGCGACGATCTCCTTAAACACGGCCAAATGAGCTTCCACTAAATCTCCGTCTGCCTTGCTATGAGAATAAAGCCTCTGCTTCAAATGCAACTCATTGGTCAGACTTTTGGTCATACAGAGTTGCTCCAACTTCAACCACAACGCAATCGCTGTCTTCTCCTTCAATACGTCCTGAAGAATGTTGTTAGATAGATGAAGGTGAATTTGAGACAAATCCTTTCAATCCTTCCTTTGCTTCTTTTCTGTTGTTCAAGTTGCGGACATCTTCTCAAATCCCAACAACGTATCATCCAAATCCATTTGCGCCAACACAGCTCTCATCTTTACTTGCCACAACGAAAATCTTGTACTGCCATCCAAAAGCTGAATATCAAACTTCATTGAAGCCATTACACAAAGAAAAATTCCAAAAGCAAAACTTCACAACGCCTAATCTCTGATACCACTTGTTAAGATCTAACAAGGAAGCTTTGCATTCACCAAACGAGATTTAATATGGTAGAATTGAAGTAATAGATCACCAAACACAAAGAAAAGATTTAAAGTAAAGAAAACACAAGAGAGAATTAATGGAAAAAGGAGATGATTTTATTTCAACCAATGGAGGGCATAAATTATATGATGTGTATAATGCTTCAAGTAATATGGAGGGAGGGACTATATATTTATAGGTACATACCAAACCATATAGATGAAAATAATATAAAAATAATGTGGAATAGTGTAAATAATATTTTTCCAATAAAATCACGTGAAATAAAATGAAACAATATCACGTGAAAATAAGGAAACAATATTTCCTAATAAAACAATGTGCAAAGAAAGGTCAAAATATTCCACATAATTTGGATCACCAAACCTAACAATCTCCACCTTAATACAAATTTTGGTGCATCAAATTAAGTAACAAAATTTTTCCACCTGGAAAAATAAATCCAACTGCATCGAAATGACAAAACCCTTCAAATCTCTCCAACACAAAAAACCGTCTTCCTCTTCCCAAGTATCCAGTATGATACATGAACCACACCTGGTTCCCAAAAATTCCACCATGGAAACAATCAACCAAATAGTATCCACAAATGATACTCGAACTCACACACCGAGTTCCCAAAATTCTTCAATGGAATTCACAATCAACCAAATAAGATAGAAGCACACCCTGTAGCAGAATCATCACCAAGTGCTTGAACATAAGATTGCTTGCTAGACACATCATCTTTAAAAACCACAAAATCACACACCTACACCTGGACTATACCTCTCCTCATTGAGTCCTTCCCTAGCAATGGAACATGATGGAACTGCTGAAACNTGTTGATGAGGAGATGGTGTTGGTGCAAATATTTGGTGGCCACGGTGGCCTGAAAATGGCCGGCATGCGGCGATAGGATGAGGGTGAGTTTTGGAAAGAAGGGAAAGTTTAATGGGTTATTTGCACTTTTTAAAAAGTTTGGGCCTATAGTTGCAATTTGTTGGATTGTTTTTCTTTGTGTCTAAATTGAATGGAGGGTAAAATCGTCAAAAAACAGTGAAAATGATGTTCAGGGAACCAAAATCCCAAAGGTAAGGGCATAAATGCCAAGAAATGAAAGGTAGGGACGGTTTCCAATATTCATCCCAAAAGTAGGGACGTTTTGTGCTAATTAGCCTTAATTTTAATTACATATCACAACTTTTAACTACACATTTTATCGACATTTATTAAAATTTATAAAAAAATTGAATTTAATTCCCACCAAACATGACATAAATTCATTTTGTCAATGATTAGGGACAGAAAAAGGATCAAGAATGGACTATAATGATAGGCCTTTCAAGCATGGATCCAACAATGACAAAAGCTGACCCAATGAAACCATGATTATGATTACTGGGTTGGACCCCGTGATCCAATACCTAGATCAAATCAATTTTCGGATCAGGTCTGAAAACTATGATTAAAACTGGAAAAAATTCCTATAGGCAATGGTGCAGATTGAGCAATTGTTCTATATTATGGTGTGGGAGTGGGTCGTGTTTCCACCTCGTAGAGGCAGAAGCGTGGCCAAGCAGAGTTATCTGCAGCAAGAGTTTCGATTGAAAGAGGAGAGTCGGTCGAACGTTGAGAAGGTTTTGAAAAAAATGAGTAATCTTAGAATATGGTAGTACTATTGTGTACCGAATATGCCTTCAAATTATTTTCACGCCCTCTAGCCGTAATATGAATAGAGCAAATGCATAAAAGGAAAGAGAATAAATAAAAACCTTAAATAGGCAACACATTTTGTTCAAGTCTAATTCAAAGGGTTTAAGCATCACAATGAACATCTGTATCAGTTTCAGTTTTCCCAAAATGAGGTTAAACTACCCCCATAAACCATGAGATAAAAGTTATCAACCCCATGATTACCAGCAGGCATAAACTACGACGAAGAGGAGCCGACCATTGTGCTTATTTTGTTCAAGAACCCTTTTATCTCGTTCTCCAACTTGGTTCTGGTCTCTGGTGAAAGAGCATTGCCTTCCTTTTCAAGAAAGGACTTCATCATCTCGACATTTTTCCTCATGGCTATAAGGTTAGATGCCTCTGGACGCTTGGCCAATGTCTTGCGCGCTTTTGCAGGCAAAAAGGGACGTGGAGTATGCACGCCCTTTTTTTGTTCTATTGTTTGTGAGCTGCCTGGGAAGATGATGTTGTAATTGGCAAGTGATGCTCCCCATGGATTGCTCTTCTCCAAGCTTCGGCATGCAAAAACACCATCTGATTTTCTTTCATATGCGATCTGGGCCATTGAGTCGTCAATAATCCGGGTTTCTGATTCTTTCAACAACCCAAATCTTGAGAATATTGGGATAAATGTTTCTTTAGCAGGCGGAGGGGATCCTGGAGCAAAGTTCAAGAAGAGAATGGCACCTAAATCTTCTTTTTTGGACATCTTATTAGTAGTCACATTTGAACCTGATGCAGCAGATATATTTCTCCGCCTCCTCTTTGGCTCAGGTTTACCACCATCAGGTGATACAGCATTTACCTCGGCCATATCCTTCCCCTGTGGGCCGGGTTCTGACACATCTCCATTCAAATCTGGTATGGGAGAAGCAACTGGATCAGTATTTGCCTTTTTTCTTTTCTGGCCCTCGAGCTGAGAATCGGATTGTGAAGGAAGTGAAGTTTGCACTGAAGAGCCAAGCCCGGTTTTATTTATATTCGCTTCTGATTCTCGAGCAGTAGATTTTGCATTTGTAAATTTAGCACAATCTTTTACATCTGCTCCATTGTTCAGCTGTGAATTACTCCGGACTGTTATTTGCACGTCTTTAAACCCCGGGGGAGTTGTAAAGCTGATTATGTTTGCATCCGTAGAGTCAACAGCATTTTTATTAGGCACAGCTAATCCATCCTTCTTCCGCTTTGGTACGAGTTTACCTTTAGAAGTAGAAGTTCCACTAAATGGCACTTTTTCCACTGAAAAGCTCAGGTTGTTTCCATACAAACTCAGTAACCCATCGATCATGTTAACCTGAGGAAGTTCTAGTGTTGCTCCAGCCATCTTTCTCTTCTTGGAAGATTTTTCCTTACTTAGCACATGAGAACCCATCTCTTGGCCCCCAATCAGAGACGAGTTATTTGTAATAACGTTTGTTCTTGTCCGAAAAGAAATATTGTCAACCTGAGGAAGTTCTGGTGTTGCTCCTGCCTTCTTTGTCTTCGAAGTTTTTCCCTTTGTTGGCACATCAGAACCCATCTCTTGGCTGCCAATCAGAGACGAGTTATTTGTAATATCGGCTGTGCCCGTCTGAAAAGAAATATTGTCAACCTGAGGAAGTTCTGGTGTTGCTCCTGCCCTCTTTGTCTTCGTGGTTTTTCCCTTTGTTGGCACATCAGACCCTGTATCTTGGGCCCCAATCATGGACGAATTATTTGTATCATTGTTTGCGCTTGTGCCCAGAGAATCATCAGTAGCCTTTACACCTGCCGACTTTACTCCTCCATTCTTCTTTTTAGCCTTCCTTGGAAAAATATCAGCTTCTGGACAGTTTTGGAGTTTTTCATGGTCTAAAAATATGAATTGTCTGAAACTACAATAAAATATCTTCAGTGAATCAAAATGTTTTCCCTTTTTGAGATAGAAACTATCAAGAGCTGTCGTGCGGAGTTCAGCTAGCAATTGAGCTGACGATGCCTCAACACTGTCCGATTTACCGACTTTATGAGGCCCCTTGAAAGGTTTCTTTGAGACTTTTTTCTGTGTATTCTTGTCACTCGATGGAGCGATTTGCTCCGGACCTTCTGTTCCATTTTCAACCACAGTTTTCAAACCCTGATTCACGTCCACGTAAGGATAGGATAAATACCTGCTCTTCTTCCGTTCTCTGGATTCATGCCCTTTACCAGTCGACATTGATTTGCCATCAAGAACAGCTTCAGTATCATCACTGTGATCCCTGTTCCCCGACTTCGACAGGGTTGAGTCGTCGTTGCCAATTTGTACACAGTTTCTGTTGCCTTCAGAAGTATTATTCCCGTCTTTGTAAGTCAGCAGCGATGTCCACGAGTCTCTATCATTCTGCGAAGTGTCACCAATTGGCGGTGACCGGAGTTGCAGCAAGGGCAACTGGCAATGCCCAACAGAACTATAGAATGCTGAAAGACGGTTCTTGATGATGGTGAACTCAATTTTACCAGGTAAAGAACCCACTCGGCCAAGACGTCTAACAAGTGCAAGAAAACTTGAGGGTTCGAACCGAGACAACGAAAGAACATCAGATTTCCCCATTTTATTATGCTTTGATATTGAATTCACCACCTGATTTTCCGCCGAACATCGAGCGTCAAGTTTTTGACTTTCCTTCAAGAAGCACGGGCAAGTCATCTCTGCCTGTACACGCCAACCAATCTCACTTAAAGCCTTCTCTACCGAACCAAGAAAGATACTAGAGTTGCTTTGCATTAGCATCTGTTCAAAGTACTCAAGAAAAGGCTTCAAGTTAGAACTGGGGCACCAAAGCGAATTAACATTGCCAAAATATTTAACCAGGAAATAATCCGTTTCTTCGAAGTTTTCTGGATCCTTTGAAGCTGTTGAAGGATCATGTATCATCCCTGGCCACCACAACTGATTTGGAGTTTTGACCCATACCATATCGCCCACACCAAACTTGTGTTCTTGCTCGCCTTGATCCAAATCATTACCTCTCACTACGAGTTCCCCCGAGCTCCTCACATTTTTGCAGCCTTCATTAATTCCATTTTGGGAACATAAAAGTTGCACAAATAAATTGATACCTTTATCAGAAACTTCTATATTTGATGGCGAATCAGACTTGTGTAACTGCAACGTGTCATCACCTTGATCCACAGCCTCATTTTCCTCAACAACCTCCAAGTTTCCTTCCAAAACCGACATACGAATATCTTTAAATTTATTACCGATCATTACAGATTCCAACATGCCTTCTCTTCCCTGATTATTCTCAATAACACCCTCGCACGCCCTCGCCTCTTCCATTTACCAGTTACTCAATTTTCTTGCTGTTTCACCATATACACCAACTGTACACTTCTCACTTAAATAATAGAATCTTTCTGTTCTAGGGTTTTATCACACTGGTTTAGAGTTGGCCTTGGTTTCGTCAACGAAAAAACCTCTTTTATGAGTCCAGAGATTTCCTGATTTTCCATTTCATGAATGAACCAAAAAGATCTCTATTTTTTTTCTCAAAAAATCAATCTCAGTCACCAAAGCTGTAAGAAAAAATATAGGTCAAACATTTTTCTTTATTTTTTCCACTCAAAAATCACACCAACAGCAACCAAAATTTACAAACTTAAAAAGTCAACATTTATAAAAAAAAAATGGGGACAAAAAAACCACCTAGATTTTACTATCAGAAAGCCAAAAAATTTGAAAAAAAGAGAGTTAGTGACATCAAACAAAAATCACAAACTACAAAATCTAACATACATCAAAAATGGAAATCGAAAAAAAAAAAACCAAAAATCAACCCAATTAAAACAAAAACCCACATACATTTTACTATTACAAGGCCAAAATATCTGTAAAGAAGAGAATTGATGACAACAAACAAAATTCACAAACTTAAAAGCTAACATATGAATAAAAATCGGAAAAAAAAAAAAATCAACCCCCAAAAAAACCCACATACATTTTACTATCAGAAAGCCAGAAAAAAAAAAACTGGAAAAAGGAGAATCAAGAACAATTAATTACCTGACGAAGCGATTGAACTATATCCACTTTACTGAGCACAACAATTATTTAAGAGCCACTGATCTGCCATAACTTGATAACAACACAAAAAAGTGATTAATTTAGAATGGGAATTGAAAAACAGTGAATTCGAGACAGAAAAGTGAAGGGCCTTTTCCTTTTCTCCCTAAAAATAGTTAAGTTCGAAGCAAGAAAGATACCTTCCTTTCTCTATTTCTCTGCCTAGAAGGAAACTCCGAAACTGTTCTACATGACTGAACTCTACCCCGCTTGTTATGTTACTTTGTGATGGTAAGACACGTGTTTCGGTGTAGTGGTCGAGCTTATATCATCAATTAATATTTCTTTCCTTAAAATAAGTACTTTTTTTTCACTTATAAGGCCCAGTTTGGTTCACATTATTTTTTTCATTCTCATTCTTCTACTCATTTTCAAGTACACATTTTTCAATAAAATAATATTTTTCATCACATCAAAAACTTTTTTTTCTTTTTCAATCAGATATTCCCCATCACAGTAAAAATACATTATTACTTTCAAAATGTGTACCAAACGGGGCATATATATTGAAAAAATAGAGACTAGTAACAATAAGTCAAAATAAAGGTAATACTTAGTCGTTGTTTGACAAACGTTTTTTCAAAATACATTTTTTAAAAACTCACTTTCACTTTGACATTTAAATCTATATTAGATAAGGAACAAGTCTTCTCATGCTGATATATTTGGTACTTATGTTGATATCTAACCGTAGTTTAGTAAAATAGATTCAACTCAATGTTCGACGATTTCAGTTACTTTGCACAATTATTCGACATCTTGAGATCGGGGTCAAGTGTTGTTCTTTTTATTTTTTTGAGACATCAAAAATTTCATGATCAACTATTTTAGCAAACATATCTTTGAACAAGTCAAACATGGGTACTAGAAGTTTCTAAAATCGAGTGAGTATTAGTGAAAAATATTAATCTAGTATTTTTTAATTTTTTAGGCTAGTTTGTTGTTGTATTTTTTTTCATGCTAATATGACCTACCATTTACATCGTATTTTGTTGGCACCTAGGCCTAGTGGATAATTAGTAACGTCCTTGTTTGGTGAAAATTAAAATCAAATTTTTTAGTAGATTTTGATAGAAGTTGTTGAAATGTGTGGTTGAAAAGTTGTGAAACCCATAAAATATGTGATTAAAATTAATTATTAAGTAATTTTAATCAATACCAAACAGAGGCGAACCTTGTAATTATTTTAAATTTTAATTAAAATTAAAATGGGATAATAAAATTAAAATGGGATAATAATTAGAAATTTTGTTAAGAGATGCTACATGTGCACATTTGTTTACGTAATGTTGAGTTGTCAATTTCTTATTCCCTGTTGCACAGAAAACAAAATGTTACCAACCAATAAAAAATTGCCGACTCAACATTATGTAAACAAAATGTTCAAGTAGATTTACACAATCTCATGAAAATGTGAGGCTTGATCAAACTTCAAATCACTCTAACGTAGTTTTTAGTTTAAGTACATACACACTTTAAAAGTGACTACCTAGTAAAATATTTACAATTACATTGAAAGTGACTTTTTTTTTTTTGTTTTTTTTTTTGAAAATTACCTTATTTATTTATTTATTTTTGCTTTTAAGCATAGTTATTGATGTGAAGTCATTCTTAATCTACACGCATTTGATGATTTTTTCGATGAATTTTATTTCACCTTAAAAATAACTTAATTTCTCTTTTCACGGTGTTTCAAAATAAATGCATATTTAAATCGTTGACATGATATTTTGAGAATATGATACTCCATCTTCTCATTTATATAGGCTGACTTTTTTTATTTTCTTGTTCCATTTATATTGTTCTTTTTCTTTATTGAGAAAATATTTATTTTGTTTGTTTACTAATATACTCTTATTTAATTTGTCTAGTTATAACAAATTCCTCACATTTAATCTTGAAATTGTACAAATTTTAATTTACCTTATTATAATTATCCAAATACATACACACATTTCCCACTTCATTGACTCTAGCCCTTGATAATTCATGGTGAAGGATTTCGAAATGCAGATATGATTCGTGTTAGCTCCAACGTATTGAGGTGTTTGATCATACTAATATATCTCACTCTTGACATGACATCGAACAATATCAAATTTCCAAATAGCTATCACTACTCCGCAAGGAATTTAAATAATTTATCAGATTAATTTATGCATGATCATATTGCCCAATACACTTTCAAAAGTGTACTATCCTCCATTCTTAAGTAATATTTATTTAACTGACGCAACAAAATATTAGCAATAACAATTATGTCCCAACACTATTGTGCATATATCCCAACAACATATGATTTTGTACGGATGTTTTTCTTATAAATCCTTGTGTCCTTTCTATAGTTATTTTCCATTTAAATTATTTGTTCTTGTGGACACTTTTCCAAATGAGGATTCTACAAGGCAAATCTAAAATTTGTCCCTGTAAGATTTCAAATAGCATTCCTCATTGTTAAAAAGAAGTTGCTATGAAAAATTGTCACTGGATTCTCGTAATTTCGCCACATGTAGAGGCTAAAGCACTCTGAATTCCGACAACATACATACTATAGATCATCCTGAAAATATACATACACAAGAAGGAAGAAGAGATAAGTAGAAAGTAAACAGATAATTTTTAAGGTGATTCTAGTTACAATCAATTATTGTGATACAATCAGGGTGATAGATAATGTGGAATTTCTTGCACGTCAATCGGGCGCTAGCACCTTCCTTTATAATCGCAGACTCGTGTTTCCCATTCACTTTCGAGTGCTTGGTGTTGGAGTATTGCGTCACAAATTGATAGCATGTAATTAAAAAGAAATGAAGAAAAAGCAAAATTAGAAGAAAAACCAGCAAAGAAGAAGAGTTAGTTATTGTAGTTAAAGTTAGTTGTTTCAGTTAGTTATTTTCTGTTATTTAGTTATTCTACTTCATTGTTGTTTATTTCCTGTATAAATATAGCTTGTGTCTGATGTAAAGTTCGATCAATCAAGCTCATTAATGAAATAAGCATTTCATCTTCTTCTAGCTTCCATTTTTCTTTCTATTAATTCAAAATTCAACATGGTTTCAAAGCATATTTCATCAAGCTGAAAGCTACCGCAACATCACATGCTTGTGTTATGCAAGAATTAATCTTCCTTTGCAAAAATTCTGCTATGGAATTTTCTGCATTAATTTCCTAATACGAGTTCTAATAATTTGTCCATAAAACCCCTATCAATTCGAGCAATCCCTTTATCAATCCCTCAGATGATTCCTCAAATCCTTATTATCTCCATCCTAGTGACAACCCTGGTGCTTTTTTATTATCAGAAATGTTCAATGGATAGAACTATGTCACATGGAGTCGATCGATCATCATAGCTTTGACAGTCAAGAACAAGGTAAAGTTCATTGATGGCTCAATTTCTCGTCCCTCTACTGACCAACTTATCAACCATATATTGTGGCTACATTCGAACAACCTAGTCCTTTCTTGGTTGATGGATTCAATTTCTAAAGATATACGTAACAACTTATTGTTTGTAACATCAGCTGCTGACATCTGGAATGAGCTTAAGACCAAATACCTCAGAAGTGATGGACCAAGAGTCTTTCATCTTGAAAAATCTCTAAGTTGTATAAGCCAAGGTTCCTTGTCTGCTACTCTTTTAAAACTCTTTGGGATGAATACATTAGTTACAGAACATTTCCAACTTGCACATGTGGAAAAATGGCATCATGTGCTTGTGATTTGTTCACCTTTCTGCAAACTTGACAACAGTCTGATTATGTTCTAAAATTTTTGGTTAGGTTGAATGATTCCTTTGCATCTGTCAGAAGCCAATTACATTTTATGGTTCCACTACCTAGCATGGCCAAAATATTCTCTTTAAATCCTACTTCATATATTGAGACAGATGCCTTACTTTCTTGTCTTCTTTTATTCTTTTGCTAGTGATCAAATACTTCATTACTGTGCCATATAAATTCAACATCTTAATCTGGTGATTGGTTTCATCAAGTGATATTCAAACAATACATAATTTTTGTATTTTCAACATTGCTAACAACGATCTAGGTATATTAATATTTCTTCTAACATGAGACATTTTAGTTGTTTTCATAACAAGTAATATCTGAGCGCTAGGTTCAGCAGTTCCACATGAGCATATGATTTGATTTGTTCGACATTTTTTGTTCGTGATGGTTTTCATGAAGTATAACATTCCTTTTAGGGATTGTAGCATTAAATTTTCACTATGACAGTTTAAGATAAGTGCAGTACTTGCACAGCTAGATTTGGATAATGCGTTGCTGTGAATTGACAAAATTCCCGCAACTTTGATCACAAACTTGGAAACTTTAGAAGTAAAGTATGATGATGATGATTTGGTCTTGATCCTATTGTGTTCATTGTTCGCTTCGTTTTCTTCATTTTGAGACACGATCTTGTTAGTCGTGATACTCTCACCATAGAGGAAGTGTATGATGTTGTGTTTTCAAAAGAGAAGATGGAGCATCTGGTTTTAGAGGTCAGAGTTGGAGAAGACCTTGTTGCTCATGGTAGTTTTGAAAATAACAAATCAAAATCTAAGTTCAGTAATTAGATTTGTAACTACTGCAAGAAGAAGAAACACATGAAGAATGATTGCTACAACTTGCAGAATAAAAAAAGGTTGATTGCAAGTCAATATGGGAAGCAATCAGAGACTTCAAGTGAAGTAGACCCTGCAGAGAACATTGTAAATGAGGGAGATCTCTTGGCTATTTCTGACATCGAGTCTAAATGAGATGAGGATTGGATTCTGGATTCAACGTGTGTGTTTCATATGTGTCATATCAAGGACTTGTTTACTACATATGAAATAGCTTCCAAAGGTGTCTGGTTATGAAAAACAACGTACTTTGTCGGGTTGTTAGAATTGGAACGGTCAGATTGAAGCTATTGGACGTGATAATTAGAATACTTGGTCAGGTTCGACATATTCTAGATTTGAAAAAGAATCTCATCTACCTGTCTATCCTTGATTCAAAGGGTTATGAGTTCTTTGGTCGATGTGATTTTTTTAAGGTTTGTAAGGGTGCTCAGGTTATATTGGTGAGATACAAAATGTCTCAGTTATACATCTTGTAGGGTCGTGTAGAATCTAGAAGAGTCAATCAGCAATCAGTACCATGGTGGACATTCAGTTTGGTATAACACCTTTAGAAACTCGTAAATGGTCGGATTTGAAAAATACTGCTTTGTGGAGTTCAGGAGATATGGATAATGCTACTTTGTCACCATCACCTGTGGTATCATTATATTTAATTGCTAGGGACGAACCCAGTGGTTAAAAGTATGTGGATGCTGATTTTGTTGAGCATACTTTCGGCGTAATAAAAGGTGCACAATCTAATAAGGGGCATTTTTCAAAAGCATTTGTGTTTGATTCTGCTTTGGGGTGTGTTACAGCCCAATTTGGTGAATTTTAAAATCATTATGATTTTTTGAGAATTTGAGGTAATTATGAAGAGTAGTACTTAGATTCATTGGAAGAGGTGGTATTTTATGTTGGTTGGAGAAATCAGTTTTGGTAATTGTTGAAGAGTCGATTCATTTCTTGCAAATGGATTTTCTTCTGCAACTAGAGAATATTTTGGAGTTTTGTTTGTTACAGTGAAATTCGTGTCAAGATGAAAATTGTTAGAATTTGGGTGTGACTTGAATTCTTTGTTGAAGTAATTGAAAAATTCTAATTAAAGTGCACGTAAAAAAGAATTCAGTTTGAAATGTTATTAGAGTCATATGTTAAATTAAAGTTCTATATTGGAAGCTCATTGGGAGTTGAAATTTGTTTTGTACTCGATTTTTGGTATCCTACTTCATCATCAACTTAATTAGGAGAGTTTGGATATCCCCTACATATTCCCTATAAATATTAGATTATTCTATACAATTTTATAAATGTGAGAAAAAAGATTACTAGAATTTTAGGATCAATGGTATGTTTCTCCATTATTATTAGTGTAATAATATCTCTTAATTCATCTGTCATATTTTTTTATTTTCTTTTATTCTTTTGCTAGTGATCAAATACTTCATTATTATAATATATAATTTCAACATCTCAATCTGGTGGTTGATTTTATCAAGTGGTATTCAAACAATACAAAATTCTTGTATTTTCAACATTGTTAATAGCGATCCATGCATATTAATATTTCTTCTAACAAGAGATATTTGGTTATTTTCGTTATAGAGCCGGAGTAATATGTAAAAAATAAATCTAAAATTACACATGAATTTTTTTAGAAGGTATAAAAGTGATAATCTAAATAATATCTATCTTTGGCACTGCTTACTAAGTGATATAAATAAAAAAAAACTTATTTTCAAATTACATAAAGATTAATATTTGGGGGCAACTGATTCTGAATCATTCGACAATGCTAAATCAAAACTATCATGCAAGATGATCATATCTCTTTTTACTAGAAAGGAGAAAAAGTTACACAATTACCGGATCTAATACATGTTGATTTGTCGACACATGTCAATTATTGCTATAGGAGGTTTCTCTTATTACATCACGTTTATACTTAAGAAAATTCTAAATATGGTTATGTATACTTAATGAAATTCAAGTATGAAACTTTTGAAAAGTTCAAGAAATTCTAGCTAGGCATAGAAAAGTAATTAGATAAATGTATTATCCCACTAAGATCTAATCGAGATGAAGAATATTTTCATGGTCATTTTGTAGACATAAATCTCAACTTTTCAACATTTGTGCGAAATCTACCATGTCCAAACGACTTCATATTTAGATTATGTTGTCAAACATCATTATCTGGAGAAGTGTCTAGAGCAATATTTCTATGGTCATTTTGTTGTAGACATAATCTCAAATGTTTAAATTGAGTCAAACTAACCACGTCCAAATGATTTCAAGTTTAAATTTTGTTGTCATTCTATTGACATAATTGTCCATAGCAAGAACCATACACAACAATGCTTATATATCATTTGGTATAATTTTAATGCCTCGATAATTTCATAGCTTAAAGCTCCAGAAGTGCATTGGGCCAAGTGGGTTTGGAACAAAGCTATTCCTAAGCGGGTGTCAGTGGCTATGTGGAAAGCTTTATCAGGGAGCCTCAGTGTGGATTCTCATATCTGTCAAGTGGGTATTGCTATTGCATCAAGATATAACTGCTATATTGTAGGTCATGAGGACACCAGGGATCATGTCTTGAGCACAGGGAAAATTGCTGATGAAGTTTGGAGGAGAATATCGCATCATTTAGGTGTGTGATGGAGAAGTAAACAAGGTTGGTTGGAGCGGGTTCAACTATGGTGAGCTCGGGCTAAGCGATCTACACAGCTGGGCTATCTTCTTGGTGTGCTTCCTTGTCTAATTACCTGGCGGTTGTGGGCGAGGCGGTGTCAAGCTCGAATGGAGGGCAAGTATGAATCCGTTGAGGAAGCAGTCACAACTATAAAATTCTGGTTGCAACAGATGGCCTCTTCCATAAATACGGTTAAGGTTCTTTCTTCTCATGATAAATTGCAGCAGGTGGCCTCTTCCATAAATAAGGTTAAAGTTCTTTCTTCTCATGATGCTAGAATTTTGTCCTATTCGGACTTTCCATGTGTGATGGGGCGGCAAAGGCAAACTCGTATGATCATTTGGAGGAATCCTATATCAAGTAGGGGAAAACTTAATGTGGATGGTTGTAGTTTTGGGAACCCTAGTCTATCTGGTTGTCGTGGTGTTATTAGGGATGAGTTTGGGAAGGTTATGGCTAGTTTTGCATCTCAATTAGGGAAGACTACTAATACAGAAGCTGAGTTGAGAGCTATTATTGAAGGGTTGAAGGTATGCCAACAACTTGGGGCTTGTGCTGTGGAAATTGAATGTGATTATCTAATTATTGTTAATTGGCTAAAAATTCGTAAGTGCACAGTCTGGTATTTGTGGGATTTTTGGGAAGAGCTATTGGGTTTGATTCAGCTTTTTGAGGTTCATGTAATGCATCAATATAGGGAAGGTAATCAAGTGGCAGATGCTTTGGCAAAATTAGGTGCAAAAGGTCATACATAGAGGTTTTCCTCGCACATGGAGCTACCCAGAGTTGCTAGTGGACTGGCCCATTTAGATCGACTTGGAGTACCTTATGAGTAGTTGATATTTCTGTTGGTTTTCTCATTTGTCATGTTTAGCTTGTTCATGATGAAACATGGTTTTTTACGTTTGTCGTTTAGATGATAAGGTTGGTTTTGGTGGAGCGTCAACGATCGATTTTTGTAATCACGGTATTCCTCCGCCACAAGTGATATTTTATTAAATAAAACTGATATTAAAAAAAGAAGAAGATAATTTAATAGCTTGACACCATCACGTAGTATAGAGCCTAATTTTGTGATTCTCCGGTAACACAGTCTTCAACTTTTCCACACTAAAAAAGAAGTTTTCCTCAATATTCTAAGACATATTGATCCGCCCAACGAGGTCATATAAAACGTGGATGATGAAGAGTTTTGGAACCAACGGAAATACATATTTTTCATGGATGAATTGTGGTAAAAAAGGGGACTGATTTGGAGCATTCATTGGATAAAATGATGGTGTAAGATGAAGGCGGGTAAGTATTGAGACTCAATTGAACGGACTTGAAAAGCGAAATGGAAGTTTCCATGATATTTTGGACCAAAACTGAAGTTTGAAGAAGTTAGGCCTTGTTTGATAGCACGCATTTTCCAACTTTTGTAGTTTTGATAGACAAAATTTTCCCGAAAACATTCCAAAATTTCCACCTTTTTGAAGAAAATAAATTCTTGATGTTTTGGTTGGTAAATATTTTTCAGGTGTTATTTGGGCAATTGGAAAAAATTATAGACACAATGGTAAATTTTTTTTCACTTTTATTGACAATTTCGATGCAAAACAAAGCCAATGAATAATATTCGGTATGGTTATTTTTTTCAACTATTTTTTTGACAATTAGAACAAATTCTAGATCAAATGGTAGAAAACATTATCACTTTAATGGACAATTTTAATAAAAAAAGAAGCTAAACGGACACCAAACTTTCAACATTTTCCTTGAAAAATTATACCAATCAAACACAATTAATTACAATTCCTAGTAAAACAATTTCTAGGCAAATCAATTCTTTGTAAAACATTTTCTTTCCACCCATTTTCCACATTTGCAATCAAACGGATCCTAATTATTTCCATAGAAGAAATTATCACTTTAATGGACAATTTTCATAAAAATGAAGTCAAACGGATACCAAACTTTCAACATTTTTCAGGTGAAAAATTATACCAATCAAACACAATTAATTATAATTCCCAATAAAATAATTTATTGGCAAATCAATTCCCCGTAAAACATTTTTTTTCCACCTAGTTTTCACCTTTGTAATCAAACGGACCCTTAGTGGACTAAGACGAATGATGCTGAAAAGTTTTAAGAATCAATTGCTTAATAAATTGAAAGAACAAGCTTGTGTTGTCGGATATACTGGTCCCGAATTGCTAGACCAGATTTCGAGGGTGGGAAGACTCGGAATTTTAGAAACAGACTTTATCGACAGAGAAACAGTTTCTGCGATGGTTAGCACACATAAACGACAGTTCGGGCAGAAACATTTTAGTATGGCTATTATTTTGAAAAAATGATTTTGAATAATGATTTTTTTGGAGAATGTGTATTTGAAAATGTAGGAAAAAATTTGGGTTTATGTGCAAAATATTTTATTGTATAAATGTGTGGTTGAAAATAAATATGAGAATAAAAGAATTTTGTTTTAAATGAAATAGGAAACTCATTTTATTTTTTTTAAATTCCACCTCATTTTGAACCCCTTTTTGGATTTTTTTCATGCCTCTATTTATATTGTAAATCTCTAAACACCTCAAAACACACCACAAACACTAAGGTGGTGTTCTCTTTGGCCGTTTTGGGTCGTTTTCTGTTTTCGATTTTTTAAAACAATGAAAACGCATTCTCTTTCCTATTTTTGAAAATGCGTTTTTAAAAACGATAAAAAAATTGTACACAAAACACAAAACAATGAAATCAACATTTTGAAAACAGGGGACAAGAGGAAAACACGGGAAATGACCATTTTTAACGCCTCCACTACCCCATTTTCAATTTCTTCCCACTTCTTCCAATCCATCCCCTCTCTTCCTTCCCTCTGGACGAAGGAGATGAGCCGGTACCGGAGCCGACGTGGGGAGGCGACTCTTCCGTGAACGTAGCGTCACGACCCATTCTTCGATTTGTACACAAAATAATCACCCGTCCTGTCGAAAAGTCACCTTCATCGAACACATAATCACCAGGAAAGAAGAGACTTCAGAGAGCGGGCGGAAGCAAAGTGGCACAGGTGTAAGTGTTATGCCC